TCGGATCCCATGTGGAGACCGGTTCCTGCTCACTGGCTGAGCACAGTGCGGGCGCGACACCAAGGGTTGCGATCCCGTTACCGGTCCGTAAAAAAGACAAAAAGGAAAAAAAAAAAAAAGAAGGGTAAAACTAAAGTAAACTGCGTCAGGATGAATACATGAAGGCCCTGTGAGGAAACTGAGCCCAGAGGGGTGAATAACCTAAGACCTGAGACATGACTGTAGGTCTCCTGACTCCTAATTCACGACACTACTCTGACTCTTCCACTGCAAGACAGGGAAGGGCCATCAAAAGCCCAGGTGAGAGAACAGTGCAGGAGAAAGAGCCTGGCAGGATCGCTTGGGTTAAAGCATTCCAAAAGCACTCTCTGGCTCCACTTGTCTGCACATCACCTTTTTCCTGCGTATCAACCCACGTTTCCTCCTTATAGTCCTGCTCCATATTTCTCCAAGGCTTCTCTTCCTGGACTCATCTACTGTGGGGGCTCTGGGGCAGGGTCCACGGCAGTACTGTTTCTCGGACACTGTGCCACTTTGTGTTGCTCAGCCATGGCCATTTGGCAACAATGAAGACAATAACCTTTAATCTGTTCCCGCTGAGCCCCACTCTGGGCCACTGAGGGGTTACAGAGTCTGGAGTAAATGTTCGGCACTGCCGATGCAGGGGTAACAGCCGGTAGGGCAGCAAGGAGGGGACTGGCTCCTTAGTGCAGTTCCACCGGAGTCCCCACCCCTCTTACCCTGAAGATGACGGGGCTCGTTCACAGAAAAGGGGACAGAGGAAGCATTGGAAAGACTCCTGCTCTGTGCCAGACTTGATAGCAGAGGAAAGAGGGTAAAACCAAAACAGTACCATTTTGTAAGTGGCCCTTTGTCACTTCTAGCCCCGACTCAGCAGTCATGAGCAGCACCTCGATGCCTCTTTTCACCAGGGCCTGTGGGGAAACTCAGTCAAGACAGCAAGATCACTTCTCTCTGGAAAAAACTAAGGCAGTAAAAGCACTAGCACAAAGCTGAGGAATGAAGTCTAAGGAAGTCTAATTCCCATCCAATTACGTGTACGTTAGGAAGTGAGGATGGAAGCAGCATCACTGCCTCAGCCACGCTCAGCAAGGCCAAGGTGACAATCAAACTTCCAAGCCTGACAGAGGAGGCAGCGGACTGTTTGCTTCGCCATGCTGCAGTGCTCGCCCCTGAGGACCTGTGTTGTGTTTTCTCTGGTGCGTCAGAGAGGGTAAGATGAATACTTTCCACACTTCCACCCAAGTTAACAGTGCCCCGGGGGCTGTATTCACAGACTGTGCCTGTAAAGACACGCAAAGTGCTGGCGTTCCTCTGTCAGTGGCAAAAGCAGGTGAATTTTGGCTCAGTCCATCCACAGCCACACTTCTTGCTGCATGAGCCTTTCATGTTCCTCCTTTAGCAAGAAACAACTGTAGAGAGATTCTAAACTTTAAGTAGAGAAGAGACTGAGGGACTTATCCACTTTGGGGGTAGAATACTGAGATTGTGGCCATGGGTTCTGAGAAAAGCCAAAAGTACGCTGGCCTGGGTCTCCTGGACTGGAATATGCCAAAAGTGAAAACGTTTCTGCACTCATGCCTACAGCCCTTTGTTGGATATAAGGAGGTAGTTTGTTTCTACTGAACTCTTTTGAAAAACAGGGGAGGCAGAGGAGTGACTCAGTGAGAAGCACCAGCACGTCATGTATCAGGAGTGTCACTTATTAGAGATACTGGATCTAAATGGTAGAACTTGAGGAGCCGAGATCACAGAAAGGAAGGGAGACTAGCATTCAGCACTGCTTTTTCCTTGATATGGTGGCTAATTACTAAAAGCATCAGCCTGAAAAGCTGGACAGACTTGCCAGCAATTTCATTTCCCCAAAGACCTGGGGAGGAAACTGCAGTTCAGGGAGGGCCATGGTGGAGGGACCATGGCAAATCCTAGGTTTTCAGCTGAGACATAAAGGGCTATCCCTGGGAATAAGGGTGAATAAGAATTAGATGAAGCTGGCTGGCTGATTAGCCCAGTTGGTTAGAGTACAGTGTTATAACACCAAGGTCAAGGGTTTGGATCCCTGTACCAGCCAGCCACCAAAAAAAAAAAAAAAAAGGAATTAGACTAAGCTCTCACAAGGATTGAAGCTAAGCTTCATTGCAATACCTGTCAGAAGGAAATAAGAATCCACCCAGAAGATGATCAATTGCCTCAAATGATCTTAATGTTTTCATAAATAATATCTGATGTTAAATTTAAAAAATTATTAGACATACCAGAAGACAATACTTTACTGAATCCAGGAGCAAAAAGCACAACAAAAACAGATCCATAGGAGATCAGATATTACTTTTATTAGAAATAGATTCTGAAGCAACTATAATTAATTAATTCAAGAAATTAGGAAAAATGGAAAATTTTGGCAAAGGAAAAGAATCAAATAAAAATTCTAGAACTAAAATTAAAATATCTGAAGTTAAGAACTTGATGGGATAAGTTTAACATCAAATTAGGTAAAGCTGAAGAGAAAATCAGTGAATTAGAAGACAGCTTAGAAGAAATTATGCAGAAAAAGAGTATAACAGATATGTGCAATACGATGAAAACATCTAACATTCGTGTAACTAAAATACCAGAGAAGAGAGAAAACAGAGCATATAATTGCTGAGAATTTTCCAAAGCTGAATAAAAACTTCAAGCCACAAATAGAAGAATGCAAACAATAAGAGCAAGATAAGTAGAAAGAAAAAAACACCTAGGCAAATCTTCATAAAATTGCTGAAAAATCAAAGGAGAACAGTATTAAAAGCAGCCAGAAGAAGAGAAACACTTGACCTTAAAAGGAAGAAGAGCCTTATTGATACCTGACTTCAAATAGAAACAACGGACACCAGAAAAATCCTCAAAGAAAGTAACTGCCAACATAGAATTCTGCATATAGCAAAAATATCCATCAAAAATGATGGCAAGCTAGACATATTTTCAGGCAAATAAAAGGTGAAAAGAATTTGTTACCAGCATACCTGCAACAAAGAAAACACTAAAGGCAGAGAAAAATGGTAAGACAGATAAAAGCTCAGAGATGCAGGTGAGGAAAAAGCAACAAAAAAATAAATTATATGGGTAAATCTAAATAACTACTAACTGTATATAGTAATAAAAATAATAATAATGTCTTGTGGGTCTAACATATATATGGCATTAAAAGAAATAATAACAACAGTACCTATGGCAGGCAGGAGGAAAACGTGGCAAACACTAAAAGAATAGTGACAAATATATAACAAGCTAGTAGAGGAGAAAATCAAATAATAAAAACTACTCAGTTGATCCAAAAGAAGAGAAAAGGGACCATAGAACAGGTAAGAAGAATAGAAAGAAGATAAGATGGTAGATTTAAATGCAAATAAATCAGCAATTACATTAAATGTAAACAAACCAAATACCTCACTTAAAAGACAAGAATTTCCATAATGAATTAACAAAAATGAATTCTAATTATATACTACTTACAAGATATGTACCTGAAATATAAAAGTTGAAAGTAAAAGGATAGAAAAATATGTATTATGCAAACATGGGCCAAAAGAGAGCTGTGATATCCACAGAAAGGAAAGGTCTCCTAACGTCACTCTTTGCTTTACACAGAGTTGTGTAGGGAGTTTCCAGTCCCATCACTGGAATGTTAAATGCACGGAAAAATTAAACTGGACCTTATTCATCTTCACATCCCATGATTCCATGCAAGCTGCAGGTACTCAGGATATGTTTTCTCCACAAATTAAGTGAGAAAAGTAGTAGGTAAATACGGAGAAAAATTAAAGGAGCACTTACCTTTTTAACATATGGCATGTATCTTTTATCCAGATGATATGAACTGTACTCATTCTTGACCTGCACTGCAATGATGGGGCCACCCCTGTCATACTGAGGGTCAAAGAGATGAGAGTTTGAGAGTGAGGCTACTGGTGGGAAAAGACCAAATTTTCTGAGTTTACTGGGCACACATATCTGGAGTGCCATAAAAATATCATATTTCTAAACTCAACCCCAAGTTACACTACAGTTCTGACAATTTCTCTCACAATACAATCAGCAGTCACCTCTGGGAAGTCAAATGCTCTTGGAATCCTACCTTTCCTAATACAGTTGACCCGTGAATGATGTGGGTTAGGAGCACCGACACCCCACATGGATGAAAATCCACATATAACTTTTGACTCATCTTCCCACTTCTCAGGAACACTGCTCCTTGGAGTATCCCCTCTGTTTTCTGTATCTTCATCTCTTTCTTTACTGAACCCTTCTCATCATCATTAAAATTGATTTAGACCTTATGTTAAAAATAACTTGCCTGGACCACTGCATGTCCAGATCCACCCTCCTGCCCTCTCCACCTTCACGCCCAAACTGTGAAGTACTTCTGCACTCACTCTTGACATCTCATCCTCTCATCTTCTCCTTACTCTTTACTCTCTGTGGCCTCACTTCCACTATTTCCATTCCACTTAAATTATTAACACTGACCTTCTTTTTGCTAAATCCAAACAAGAAATTTTAGTCCTAATTTAATTACTCTCTCAGAAACTCTCGACATTTATGGCCATTTCCTCCTTCTTGGGACCCTCTCTTCTGGTGTGTTCTGTGACACGTTCTTCCCAGGCTTAAGGCTGCCTCTCCTTCTTGGTCTCCTTTGTGAGCTTCTTTTGCTCTGCCATTCTCTTAATGCTGATGCTCCTCGGGGTTCTCTATGAACCCCAGCTCTGTGCTGGATCACATCCCCTTCTGCCCTCTTGATTACAGCCTTTTGCAAATATCTTCACATTTCCCCTCCCTCCTGGTTCCTTTCTGTCCATGTGAACATGCTCAATTATCCCCTATCTTTAGAGCCCCCTCAACTCAAAGTCCTTGTCAGCTAACATACTTTCCCTCCTTCCTTATCTTGCACCTGCCACATCCTACCCAAATTTCACTGTGCCCACTTTGTACCTCCTCAACCTACTCTTGGGGATAAATGGGACAACCTTGAGGATACCTCCCAGCATGTAGAAATAAGAAAAATACTGTTGACCTCTAACAAAGAGACTCTATGCCAATAATGAAAATAGCAATCTGGGCAACACCCAGGATGGTGTGTAAGTGTGACTGAACTGTCTGCACACAAAAAACTAACCATGATGACCCAGGAGAAACTTTAGATGAGGAGAGCTGAAACATGAGGATATCGGCCAGCAAGGAATAGCTGACTGTACCATACTCTGGTAGGGGAAAGAGGACACAAAGCCTAAAGCAGTGTTTCTCAAACCTCTTTAAATTGCATATCCCTGCAGACCAACGTGGAAAAACTTTTTCAAAACCTATTTCTTCTTTCCCCCTTCCAATCTGTCCAATGAGGAATTCAGCAGACTACAGAACAGAAAAGTAAAGAGGAAAGATTCAGAAGTTGACAGTACCTAGAATTATCAAAAGCAAAAGAGCATGAATCTGATAAATACAACTGAAAATTCTAAAAGAGTACTTAGATGTGAGGAAGTCCTGATTCATGAGGCTGCAATTAATGCTTTTGAGACTTCCCAACCTCCTCAGGCCCTGGTTTCATGCTCACAAAGCAACCAAGCAACCTTCAGATTACTAATTTAGTTATCCAGGTGGGAGATTCAATACTGAGAAGTCTTGAATTAGGAGTGGGTGAGCGCTCTGGTCTAGCTCTGTCCAACAGAAATGTCCACAGTGGTGACAAATGTTCTGTATTTGCACTATCCATTAAGGTAGCAACCAACCACATGTAGCTACTGAGCACTTGAAATGAGGCCAGTGTGACTCAGGAACTGAATTTTTAATTTTATTTACTTTTAGTGAATTTAAATGTAAATAACCGCATGTGGCTATGGCTATCATAATGCACGGTGCAGCTCCAGCTTCTGTAAAGGACCATCTCTACTGTCCCCCAAATGGCACACTGTTTATGTTCTTTAGCAACTTATGAGTTTATGGCTCCCCTGAGTCTCACTCACTCTGAGATACTCGTAATGTCAGGAAGCAACTCTGTTCCTCATAACTCATACCATGTGCCTTGTCTTGCCTCCATTCAATACAATAATTTATCCTCCAAATGATGACTGTGTGGATGAAATGTTCTTGCTAAATGTTAATTGCCTAGTGCAGAGCTTGATTCCTAACAGATGTCACACACTTGTTACTCCTCTCTGCTCATTTTCTACCTACTAGACAGTCTTGTCCTTTCTGTGTCTTCCAACCACTTCAGGCACACTGTTTCTACTTCACTGATGAGTGTGCACACCCCATGATTTTATTGCAGAAGATACATTAAAAGCCAAATGAATTGCTACTTCTACAGAGTCACGAACCTAAGGTCATGTGGATAAGCTGTTATTTGTGAAGGACTGACATGTCACTATCTTTAGAAGGTAAACTAGGACATTGGGGTTAATCATTAACTTACCCCTTACGGTGATGAAGAGAGCAAATAAATAACAGGCAAAACAAGACAGAAGTCCACAGAGCCCCACTCTAGTGTCCTGCCAGGAAAAATGCAGACCTGAGTCTGGGAGCTGTGTTCAGTTGACAGCAGGAGGAGGAAGAAAGGCGCAGCAGCAGAGCAACGAGAACCCAACAC